TGCTGAATGTGCCACCATTGCCACGACAGTTGGGTTTTGCTTTCAGTTATTGCAGGACTATAGTTCGTTTGTAGTGCAGAGTCTTCATTTACCTACTCCTTGCTCTGCTGATAGTGGCATATCAAGAACAGTGGGATCACTGATTTATTTCCTCAGCTTGGAGGCATTTTGGTTCTCTTATGAGAAACCTGGTTGTAACTGTCCATATGGGAGGGTCTGTGCTGACTTCTGACTAGAGCTGGGCTCAATATTAAAGGGGAGCTGTGAGAGAGAATTGCCCCAAACTGCTGTTTGTAGAATGGCAGAATTAAACTGGATCCAGCAAAAGGACAGCTGTTATCTCATGTAAGAATGTAGGCTTAAAGGAGAACTGGCAAGCTTTATTTTTATTTTCTGTAATCAGTTTTTGTTTAAGGGGAAAAATGTCACAACAGTTACTGCAGGTTGAATGTTCTTAATGAATGAAGGGAGGGATTGTTAGCTATTCTTTGTCAGCAGGCAATGAGTATGAGGGTTTTCTGTCTCCCACAAACTCATGATTATGAACCAAAGGCTGAGAGCTGGCGTGAGGCACTGAGTGAGCCTACAGTGTGATCTCTGTAGTGGAAATTGAAATGAGCAACAGCTGTTGATCCCTGTGGAATTTACATGCTGCTTTAATCATACACTGGACTCTAAAAAGCATCTCAGAGTGGCCTAAGGAGTGAGGAGAGGTAATATACTGTATCATGCAGTTATCTGCTCCTTTTCTGTACACCTTTCCTGTACTATGGCATTTATGCTCCAGTACCTTATTTTGGTCTGCATAAATAGTGTATATAATGGTCTTCTGGTAGCATAGATACATCCGTATTTTCAAGGTAAATCAAGGTAGGTCTGTATACATATTAGTGCAGTTTTCATGTTTTCTGTGTGACACAGTCCCAGCTTCACATAGCTCTGTAACTTGCCTCTGAGACAATTAAAATGTCAGTTCAGCCTGCTCACCTTTGGAAGTTTCCCTTGGTGGAATACAAAAGGAGCCAGTATTGGCTTTCAATTTGTTATGCATAAGCAACCAGGAAATATATGCAAAAGGACTAAACCAAAGAACAGTGAAGTAGTTTAAAAGTATTTTATTACTATTTGAGTAATAATATTATTTGAAGTTGACTTTTCATTTTATTTGATTAAATTTCAGGAGCTTTTGTACTATGTGGAAAGGGCACTGTTTTTCTTCTGCTGTATTTGTACATTGAGAAGTTCATACATATTGGCCATAGGAAAAGTGAATCTTCAGTTTTTCTCTAGGACTGCAACATTGAGAGAACCAAGAGTGTATATGTCTCTTTGGAGGAATAAACACTTAATTGAAAACTTAAATGATCAGGAGGATGATTTGATATTTGGGGAGAGCTATTTCCTGCATTGTGTGGAAGCAGTTATCCTCCCACTGTCCTTCAGTGGTCACACAAACTCTGAAGTATCAGTTGTCTGTTAAAGGGATTTAAGTGCCTCCATTGAAATAAGCAGAAGCTTCTGTAAATCTGAGAAGCACATTTCCAGGTGATGTAGTTGCATGTTTATGCCCTATTCAAGAACAACAGAAGATGGTCAGTGATTTTCCTGAAAGACTTAGTTTTTCCCAAGCTATCTTGCCAATGTTTGGAAGTGGAAATGTACATTAAAGAAGTTGAATTTTAAAGTTCATATGGGAGGGAAGGACTCATAACCTGGGTTATGAGAACCCTGCCTTCCGGAGCACTTGCTGACTGGGCTGGGTAGACTGTTGTGCTTTTGTAGCATTTCCTGTAGAACCGTGGCTTCTGTTAAGCTTTCCAAGGTGTCGCTTCAGTGAACTCCTCAGTCAGTACAGTCTCTCTCTGTTTATTAAAATTCTGGAATACCTAGAACCCCAGCCCTTCCTCCCACCCAACCCTGAGCCGATGCGGGAGGCCAGAGTTTGGGGTACAATGAAGTCAGAAGCCAAAGCCAGCCTGCCTGGCTAAGTGTTCACTGGATTCTGAGGGTTTGAATGTGCGCTGTAGAACTCAGTAGACATTTGGCATTACAGTCAGTGGGAGTGGCGTAAGAGCCTGTGTGAAGTCCACAAGACAGGAGCTGTAGAAGGCTGTAGGTTGGAAAGCGCTTCTGGAAGTCACCTCGTTCAACTTCCTGCTTCAAGCAGGACTGACTTCACAGCTAGACCAGCTTGTTCTCAACCTTTGGTACATACATAGGGAAGAATCAGAAGTTGTATTTTATATCTAAATAAGGGAATCTCCTCTCCGTCTGATAAACACAAGTTTATCGTTTGAATCAAAGTAGGAATTTGTTTGATATTTCAAATTTAACTGATGATCCCTTTCATGAAAAAGCAAACGTTCAGTCTGTTGCAATGTGCAGTGATGAATTAATGCACTTGTGGGCAAAAAGAAAATGATGACTCAACCTGATTTTAGTCTACTAGTTCTTGTTAACCCCTTGTGTGCTATGTATAGTCCAGTTAATAAAGTCAGTATATCACTAGGTTCATCCTTGCAGTGGGTTCTCTTGTGGCCACATCCTTGTGGCTCTCCTTGCAGTAGTTTCCAGGTGGTGTTTAAAAACAAAAGATACCTTTTCCCATCTCCTGTGGCTGACATTTCAAATTGCCAGACCTGTGACTTCCATTACAGCAGGTATGAGCTTCTTGGTGAAGCAGCTGGCAATGACTGCATGTGGATGGCTTTATTTGCCCTGCAGCTTTGTATGTCAGTTTGGGACATACTTCTTCACTACTTGCACTACAAGGAATCCCAATTCATGCTTTTCTGACCTTTTCCAAGTTACAACCCAGTGTACAGTTGCCAGGCGTTAAGGCTTCTATGGTCTAAAAGTTCAGGGCTTCTGAGTTACAGATCTCACTGTTTCTGACATTCAGCATGAGTTTCCAGAGATTCAGAGCACTGACATTTGCTTTGCTGCTGAACAAAGGCAGAATATGCAACCCCAGCAAGCATATTAAAAATAACTCTAATACATTTCTCAAATTTATGTTGGATGAAAAGGTAAATTTGGGCCAAACATTAAGTAAGTTGAAAGCCATCCCTTTTATTTATCCTAAGTCCCTAAATACCTAAGACAAGTCACTTTCTCCTCATCACTCTCCATTTCTCACCTTGGTTAAAAAAGGAGTCTTTGCCTAGCATTTATTAGGTGTGTACTTCTGCTTAAATTGTCAAGTAAGCTAGCTAACTGGGAGAAAGTATCAAACCTTACAAAGAAATGGATGTTATCCTAATAGGATAAAAGTTCCTCATCTTCAGTACTTTCAGACTATAAATGCGTGATCACAGAAATAAATATAGATGTTCTTATTAGAGTAGTTCCAGCTTTCTTTCAATAGGCAGAACTGCTTGTAATAACTTGCAGTAGGAGGAGGAGTAGCAATTACACATGCGTTTTTCAGCTTAGCTGTTAAGTGATGTAGTAAATGTGTCCTTAAATGCTGAATTTGCACATAGTGAAGTAGTGCAAGTAGTGATAGGACAGGGGATGACTAATGACTTTAGTAATGACTTTAAACTGACAGAAGGGAGATTTAGATTAGATCTTAGGAAGAAAGTCTTCCCTGTAAGAATGGTGAGGCACTGGCATAGGTTGCCCAGAGAAGTTGTGGCTGCCCCATCCCTGGCTGTTTTCAAGGCCAGGTTGGACAGGGCTTTGAGCAACCGAGTTTAGTGGAAAGTGTCCCTGCCTGTGGCAGGAGGCTTGGAACTAGATGATCTTTAAGGTGCTTTCCAACCCAAACCATTCTGTGATTCTGTAGTTCAGTCAAATCTAGAAAATACCATGCCAACTGAAGTTAGAGCTGGGAGAACTACAGTCAAATTCAGCCAGGTATTGAAGAAACCATTGTGAGAGTTACTGCTGTTGAATGAATAACTCGGCGTGCACTGCTTTAGCTGACAGGTGTCCCGTTGCGAATAAAACCTGCTTTGCCAAGTGCAGTAAACAAGAACATTTTGGTCACACCAGAAAGGTGCAGTGGTCTCATCCTGATCTCAGCAGCTAGGTTTTTCACAAAGAACATGTATTTTTTACCAGCAGGATGGGTAAACCCTTTATAATATAATCCTCCTGCTTTCATCAGTGAATCAGCATTGATTTTGCTCTGCAGATGAAA